CCTTGTTCCGTGCCCCGGCTCCCCAATTTCAACCCGACGCTCCAGAACCCGGTTATGCAAGGACCTGCCTATGGCGTCGCGTCCTCTAGCCTGGACTGATGCCGCGGCAGGGTCAGCGCTGATGCCCCGCATATGTGGCACACGCACAGGCGTCATAAAATAACGCAGCTCTGGCAGGTCATCGAAAGAGGCTGTGATGGGCGTGACCCGTGCGGTCAACGGGGCCTGCTGCAACTGGACGAGATCCCCCGTTATCAGAGGACGGTTAGCAGCAACGTGTGGAACCCCGTTTAGGGCCGCAAGAAAGTTGCGCCTGCGATGCGCCTCGGAGATCAGCTCCCCAGCAAGGGCCCCAGCGTCCAGAGTCATTTCCTGAAGAAGCGACCCGTCCTGAGAAGAGTCCTGCAACAGGTGCACATCACGCCCAATATCATCGGCGGAGTAAATAAGGAAGATGATCTGTCTATTCCGAGGCTGGGAAGCATCCCTAGGGGCAGCAGTGCTCAGGGATACGACAGGGCGTTCGGGAACCCGTCCCTGCAATGCCAAAATGAACAAGAGCTCCGCCAGAGAATCCCTGACCTGTGCCGTCAGTATTGGTTGCGGCACCAATCGTATGACCGTTCCGCCTCCTGCCAAAGCAAAGGTGACAGTAACGCCGCGGTCGGGGGTAGGGAAAGCCCCGGTGGTGGTGGAGGTGGTAGGCGCGGGCTGCGGCATCCCAAAAGGGGCCGATAGAAGATGCGGCATCCCAAAAGGGGCCGATAGAAGACCTGGCAACACGCTGTGGTCAACGCGCAAAACCAACCACTGAAGACTACTAAGGTCCCGCGGCAACATATCCCAAATCCTGCCAGAGGAGTCCTGGGCATAGACTCCATCCATACTGCAAGCCATGTGCAGGGTCGGCGCGAGCTGCGGTAGCAAGTTCGCGACCTCAGTAAAGATGGAACCTATGTCCTGCTCCGGCCTCATAGCAATGGCAACAACCTGACCGCCCAGGCTTCGGCAATCGACAGGGAGGACCAGTTCGCCTGGGCCGAGGCCTGTAGGGGTCAGGGAAACCTGCGGTTCAGGGAGGGCCGGGAGAGGGGGAGCGAGAACTTGTACAACCTGTATCTCTTCGGCTGCCTGCTGAACCGCATCCGTGACATAGTCACTGAGGGACCATTGATAGGCGGCCTTACGGACCGTGTGATGCTTGATCCTATCAAAAACACTGTACCGCCTCAGCTCGTTGTGGTGGCTCCTGTCCGCGCAAAAGAGACAGAGCTGCGCGGCAGGAATGTTGATCAACTGCGGATCGGCAAATCGCTCCGGCAGAATATCAGGCAGCTTGTGCATAGGACATGTCACACTGGCTCGAGGAGGCCCTTCTGTCGAAAGCAAGGTGGGTGGCATATCCGGCCCACAGGCAGGCACCTGATTAGCCAGCTCCTCAGCCTGGAAAGTGCGCGCACGCGGGGCAGTGCAGTCGACAGGGGCTTGCGGTAGAACCTGAGCTTGACCTGTGACCTGCAGCAGGACAGCCTCCTCTACCTCATGAAGGGCAACATCAACCTCACCATCGGCGGCCTCAGGGATAGGGGGCTCGGCAAGTGCCGTAGCCACACCCCTTCCATAATCCGGATGGTCACCATCATCACCTGGCACCGACAGGACAAGGCCTTGTGGGTTGAGGATATGAAAGGGAACCTTAGGCAATCTGACGCGCTCACAATGCTGATCGCACACGAAGTGTACCACTTCTTGACTGAAACCGGGGGCAATGAGCACAGTACAAATGCGTCCCTCCATGTGGCGGAAATCGACCGGCATTGCAAAGTGTCCTGGCGTAGCGTCTCGAAGCGTGACGGAGACCTGAATACTCGGCAGGTTAGGAAGCCTGTCCTGCAGGAACCTGACACTTCGTAGTCTTGGAAAAATTCCCAAGAGGTCCGCCACAAGCAAGTCAATGGTGCAAGCGGGGCGTAATGGCCGAGTCTGTAAGTGCGAGGCCACATCAAAGACAGCATAACGGTCAGTGTGTCCGCCGCTGACCACAGCACCTGTGGCTCGGTGCCCTGTAACCCACCTAAAACCCATAAGCGGGAGGCCTCGGAGCTCCGGGCGGTCTAACTCCTCCGGCCATACTGTGACTCTGGCCGCCATGTTAAGCCGGAGCTCCGTGAATCCACTGTGCCCCAGGCTCGGGCTGGAAGAGGGCCTGGAAGGCCCGAAAACTGCCGCCGCGCTGCTGTTGCAACAGGGAGCTGAGCCCTTTGAGTGGACAGGTGCCGTGCAACCAACAGGGTGCACAGGCCGCGACAGGGGAAGGGAAACTGCCGCTGCGCTGCTGCTGCAGCAGGGAGCTGAGCCCTTTGAGTGGACAGGTGCCGTGCTACCCACAGGGTGCACAGGCTGCGACAGGGGAAAGCAAGGAAGGGGTCTTGCAGCAACACGGTTGCCCTGACAAGGATCACTTGCCGCGCAAAGGGGGCGGGCAGAGTGCCGGAGGATGCTGCGGGGCTTGAGACCACTGGCGCCTGGGCAGCTGCTGTGAAGCCTGTCACCTGGTCGGAAGGCACGAACCTCAGGGAGAGCCGCGAAAGTCACTGCAGGGGGCCGAGAGGCCTGCTCTGTACAGGAAAAGGAAAGGGCAGACCCTAGCTGTACACCGTTCACACGCTCACTGTGAGCACGCCACCGGCATGGCCCCAGTGGAAAGGGACGAGCAAGGCCCGGCAATGCCGCTGCTGCGTCAGGCGCATCGACGGTCGGGGCCATGAGACCAGTCGGAGCCCGGAAAGCAGGGGACATCGCACAGGCAGTGCCGCACCCTCCAGAGGAGGCCATGACCGAAGATCCAAAAAAGCGGGCAGCAAAGACGTCGAGGGCCAAAGGAGCCGCATCCCGAATGGAGACCCGCGGGTCAATCCAGGTGGTATGGCCTTTGAGGCCAAGGTCTGAAAAACACTGCTGCGTCCTGGCATCCAGCTGTCCACTGATGCCCAGTAAGCGAGAAAGTAGGGGCCCAACGAAGTCTGGCTCCTCAAGGACACTATGAAAAAAGCCACTTGTCGGCCCATACGTAGCTGCTACGCCTAGGCCTTCGGAGGGGGCGGCTGCAAAGCCTTGGCCTTCTCCTTGCCAAGCTTGAAGGGCGTAGCCGCAGACCCACCACCCTCTGTGGTGAGATCGACGGCGCTTTCCTCCGCCTTGGCCTCCTCCGCATCTGACTTTCGTCTGGGAGTCCTTGAACCCTCCCTTTCATGTCTCGTGAGGTGCTCCGCCGCCTGTTGCCTGGCAACTTGGAGAGCAGACTGTAGCTGGGCGCCAGCTGCTTGCTGGTCCTCCTTCTCCTTGCGCAGCCGGGACTCGATCTCGACTGCCTCCGCAACACGTTGTTCGTTGTCCTCCATGTCCTGGTCCGATTCGGTCTGGGCCTGTTCTCCGGAAGCCTTGGACGCCATCCTGGAGATGGCAATGGTGGCGTCCCTCTCCGCCGAAATCCATTCCACCTCCGCATTGTTGAGCTTGTCGAGGTACTCCCCCTGCTCGCCCAACTGCGTCTCCAGGATGCCAGACAGTTGCTCGATATACTCCTTCCATGCCGACAGGTAATGGGACCTGTTGGCTCGCAGGCGCTGAAGTTCCGCCCGCGCCTTGCTTTGATCGGCAACCGCTCGGTGCAGGGACTTGGCCAGGTTGTTCGAGGTGCTTCGTTGGTGCTCCGCCACCAAGCTCCGCACCGCTTCTGGTATCGCAGATCCTGCATCGGCCAGGAGCGCGACCAAAGCATCCAGCTGCGTCTTCTCTTGAGACGGAGCCGAGCCGCCACCAGCCTCGGTCTTCTTGGGCATAGCCGGGGCCGCGACAGCCGGCGGGGCTGGGAGGGCATCCGCCTGCGGCGCCAGAGGTGATGCTTCCGCAGCATCGGCCTTCCCTTTCGCAGGGGCCTTGCCCCCTTTTGGCTGGGAGCCCTTGGACTTGCCTTTCGGCTGCTGGACCCCCCATCCTCGCTGGCGTCTTCGCGGTGATGTTGCCCTCGTTGAAGTGTCTCTCCAAGGTGCACTTCCCGAGTGGTGCGTGTAAGCACCCCAATCCTGCCAGACTGGAGTCGACCTTCGCCTCGGCGAAGCGCTGCCATTGGCCTGCCAAGCTGCTCCACACTGAGGGCAGAAGGCAGCCGAGTATTTGTTCATACTCCCACATGTACATCTCCACGGTGAAGAAGCCATTGTAAGATCCGGGAGGCGTCTCTGTTCCAGGAGCCTCCTGGCTCTTTCCGGCAGCACGCTCTTCGAGTGATGCCCTCGTAGCCTTGCAATGGCCTTCTCCACAGCTGCTTCGGTAAAGGAGCTGCCAGCCAAGAAACCCCTGAGAAGGGTCCTGGCCTCCGTCCGCAGCCTTCGTGCCCGCCTGTGTTGCGGGGCCTCCGAAAAGCGTCTGAGAAAGCGGGGCGTCCTGAGCGATGATGAGGACCAGCACAGTCAGCCAGAAAACCATCAAAGTAGGGCCCAAGCGGTTCCAGAAAAAAGTGATGTTCCAGCCTCCAATAGGAGGGGAGCAATAGCCTGTCTGCCTCCACAAGGGTACAGCAAAACAGGGGGGTGCAAAAGGCACCAAGAGAAAAAGCCAAGCCGCCCCACAAGGGCCAAGCGGCAGGCGAAACAGTTCCAGCCACCCGAAGGTGGGGAAAAAGTAGGTGGCCACCTCCCCCTGGTACAGTGGCACACCAGTCGCGGGTCGCAAGCGGCAACCACGCAGGGTCAAGGAGCAGGTGAGGGATTCCCGGGGGAAAAACTACCACACCTGCAGCCGAGACGCCTAGGGTTTAGGGTTTAGGGTTTAGGGTTTAGAAGGGTTATTACAAGAAGGGTTACCATACAGGTATTGCAAGTGATGTGGAGAAGGAGGGTTATTATAAGAAGGGTTACCATACAGGTACTCCAAGGGGTGTGGAGAGTAGGGCAAAGCTTGAGGAACCTGTGATTGCTAGGATGGGGCACAGGGGTCTTGAAGGTTTTGACAGCGAGCACATCAAAGCCAGCTTTTCAGATCCGTGCATTTCCAACAGGATTTTCTGCGGTTACTTTGGGATTCCGACAGCATGCCTCGTGAACCCCGTCGAACCCTGCTGAAAGGCAACAGTGCTGTCAGTTGCAACAGCAACAACAACAAACAACAGGGTAGTAGCAAGAGAAAGATCGACTAGTTCTATGTTGAACATACTGAAGAAGGATAGGAGCAGTGGTAGTAGTGCCGCCGGTGCTACCCGAGGCCGACCAGTTTGGACGCCAACCGCGATGGGCTCAGTAGCCGGAGGAGTCAGAAGGGACGAAGCTTCCAGCAGAAAGGTGAAGCAACCCTACGACAGTTTTAAACTCTATGGAGAGTTCTGAGAGTACGAACCCGAAAAAAGACTAGAATGATCACAAAGAATGGCTACTTGAGAATTAGATGAACACGACATGGCTTGGGTGCAAAAAATGAGATGTGGAAGGGCGCTCAGACCGAGCGTAACGCTTCGATACCCGACATCGAAGCCCACGGAGGCACGGTAGGAGGAACTCGAACTCTCAGAACTCACTTGGGGCCCAGTACGCCCAAGAAGTCATCCAACAGGGTGTAGAAGCAGTATCCGTGCGGAGCTTTGCTGAAAGTAGTGGTATTTATTTGGGTTCTCAGACTAAGGATTTTGTATCTGAGGTTCATTTTAGCGCCCCCAGCACTTCGAACCTTTCTGAGAGGCGGTGCCTTACCCTCCAGAAACAGGCTTGGGTTCGGGGGTTGAACATCAAGCTTTCGCTGTATAGGGTTTAGGGTTTTAGGGTTTAGGGTTTAGGGTTTTAGGGTTACAGTGGGGTCCTTTCTCGATCTCGTCGCGAGGCCAAAGCCGCGTCCCCAGCCGCAGGGCGCCAGCAAGTCCAGGAGTCTTGGCTGACAAGACTTGACGGATCAGGGGTCGATGCACTTAGGGATTCTAGGGGCCAAGGAACTCGAACTTTGTGTCTACTGTTTCGTACTGCTGCTCTCCACTTACTCATCCATATCACTTATCACTTTCTAGGGCATTGTAGCATTCGTTTCCTTGCACATTGGGCTCCTGATGCCCTCGCGGCAGGTTCCCGGCAGCGTCCCTGCAGCAGCGGAGAGGTTCGCATCGAAGATTCACGCTTTGCAGACACGAGTTGTTGCCAATGCGACGTTCGATGTGGCATGTCTTGGCAGCTTCCTGCCTGTAATTCATGCCTATGCAAATTCGCTACCCTCAAACTCCCCTGCTCAACCTGTGCCTGCGCAGAATCCGCTTAAAGTTCACGTGAGGCATGCTCCCCCGCCGACAGTGACGCAAGATGCGGCTGCCGCCGGCGCGGTCCTTTCAAGTGACGGGGCATGGGGTGTTTGGGCCCGTTGGCACGAAGGTCCTTGGAGTTTGCGTGTCGGAGTGTTTTCAGCTGTTCCCGTTGCCACAACTGCAGCTACCTCAGCAAGAGAATGCTGCACACTCTGCAAAGGCGCAAGCTCCGCGACTGCACCTGCAGCGACAGATCCAGGTCGAACTTTCGCAGGGAATGGTGTTTAATGCCTGTGTCTTGGTAGCGACTTCTCCCTGAGCCTGCAAAATCAGTCTTATATCTATGTGCATGCATGTGAATGCAAACCTACACTTGTACATGTACATATGTACACATATATATAGAGATATGGATATAGATATAGAGATCTATGTAGATATAGGTACATATATATATATATATGTTCACACATCCAGATAGATAGATAGATAGATAGATAGATAGAAATGTAGACAGGTAGATTGGTAGATAGGTAGATAGGTAGGTAGACAGATAGCTCGTTCGATAGATAGAAATTGTACATTCATTTATGTGCAGACGTGTGCATATATATATATATGTTTGTCATTGTCGGAGGAGATGGGATTCTGCTGCGCATCCTTGTACAGTTTTCTTACAGTAGCGGTTCCAGGTGTCCCTGCGGACTTCAGGGTTCACGGAGCTGCGACCATGCAGCTGAAAGACTTTTTTTCCAGAGACCCCAATATCTCTAGTTAAGACTCCCCCATTAAAGACTCCTGCTATAGTTACCGGTTCCTTACCAGAAGGCTTTTTGTAGTCTCTGCAGCTCTTCCTACAGAGCCTTCCTGAACTGAAGAGATTTTGGCCTAGGGGCTGAGTAGGTAACCTTTAACCTTTTGGGGCTTATATAATCCTACTGTAATTGAAAAGGTTAACCTTTTTTGGGCTAGGGTCCCTAATCCCTAAACCCTAAACCCTAAACCCTAAACCCTAAACCCGTACTCAGTCTCGAAGTTGGAGTCTGGAAGTTGTGTAAGTCCAGGGCCAAGTGCTGGCCCGGAGACGCTTCCTGCCGGGGAGTTCCTTTCGCCAGGCGCCGCGCGCGCCACGGTTTAGGGTTTAGGGTTTAGGGCATTCATCAAGTCCAGTTGTAAAAAAGGGTTTAGGGTTTTTGAGCAACCTTTAGAGACTTAGGGTGCAAAAAATCGGGTCGAAAAGGTACCGGCTTCTATGTTGGGGTGCCCTTTCTTAGGGTATCAAAGGGTCCATGAGTAAATCTAAGAACCGATCCTAAACTTCCCTGTCCGTTTGCCGGGCGCTTGCCTGAGTATCGAGACGCAGGGGCGGAGCCTTGAATTCTGTATCCTGCAAAGCGGCTGCAAAACGCAGCCCCAGGGTTTAGGGTTTAGGGTTTAGAACACACCCTAGTATCCTAAACGCCCCAACACCCTGAAAAGGGGCTCTGCCGTCGGGGCCAAGTGAGTTTGCAGACTTAGGCTGGGAAGGTCTTGGCACGTTAAACATGTTTGAAGAGATTGAAGAGCTTTGTAAGAAGATGTCGCAGTGAGCAGCTGCTGTGTCCGCTTCACACCGGCTCCAAATTGTAAGGTCATAAAAGGCCTCAGACCTCAAGCCGCCTCAAGCCTTCGATCCCAAGGATGGAAAACGCACCCGAAGCCACATGCCACATGCAGCGGACACTAATCAATGTAATCCTCGTCTTGCCTGGAGAACCCCTGCAGGTGCACCACCCCGTGAGCCGGCGACCCCGACAGCCAAGAGTGGGTTGAGGCCGGATAAGGGCGGTTGCCACATTGCTTAGAGTTTGGAGTTTGCTGTACAGCATTTTCGAGTTCCGGGAGACCACATCGGAAACCTTGAGCCCCGAACACCAAACCCTGAAAAAACCTGTGCGTCGCTCGCAAAAAGAAACGATCACAAAGTTCGGGCAGAACCACGTAGCTTGCTTGTCGGAACCGGTAAAACCTCCCACGCCGTGGCTCCCCTAAACCCTAAACCCTAAACCCTAAACCCAAATCCATGGAGTCCCGAAGCAAAAAAAAGTGGCTCCAGTCGCTGAGCCCTAGCGAAGGCGCTTTGAGGTGACGCCCGAAGCTGGCATTGCAGGGCTCTCGGCTGCTGCGGCTCTTGCGGTCTTGGTGCTTGGGGTTTCCATACTACACTGTTTTGCCATGAAAAAACACTGTTGCGGTCTCCTGGTGATTATTTAAAGAAGCTGCTATGAGCACCCAACACCGGAATTCTGAGGCACGGCCAAACCACAACTTGCTTTTTGGAAGGCGTCTCATGTTCTGCGCTTCAGTGGATTTGGGACTGACTACGCAAAGTAATTGGCGGCGGCCCTCGTCACCCACAAGATGAACCCTCAACCCTGGCCAGAACCGAAACCCCAAAGTAAACCTGAAACCTCATGTGGGTTTGGGCAAGGCCGTACCACTGGACCCTTGATCCTCGCAGCCGGAGCCCTGCCAGAGGATGAGTGAAGGGCCCTTCCAATGCCTTGAGTCAAACGAAAAACAGTAGGTTTGGGCGCTGTGGGTCAAGGGCGGAGGGCCCGGAACCCTAAACTGAAGTTTTGGGCTTAAGGTTAAGCTTTCCGTCGATGGATGACTCGGTTATCAGATTATGGTGTGCCACGCGAGTATGTGTCAGACCTTGGGCTATGTTCGAAGAT